GCTATCATCCTCCTATCTGAAACGGCATCTTCCAAGGCGTATGAGAATCTGCCCACTTTGTTGGAGGCTGATATCCCGTGAATAGGCTGTGGACAACTATATAGTCTCAATTTTCTTTGCGACAATAGATCGATGGCGAGCGACAAGATTAATAATGGCGGTCCCGACAAACGTGTGATTAAGGCACCACATGGACCCCTACCAGCGGCTCCAAGTCGGTCAATATCTCTCAATGAACAAGCTTCAGCGAACCAGATCCATTTCAGTACTGTAATTTCTTCGGCAACGGGATATAGAATGAAACCCTCAGCAAGGGAGTGAGTATTGGTAAGAGAGTATGATGCTGACTAAAGATGAGGTAGGCTCTCCCGAGTAGGGATAAGGATGATGGTATGAAGGTCAAGACGGCGAAAAGTAAGCTGGTAAAATCGGGAAAACAGTGTCTCTCTGTATGCTACCATCACACGCGACTACTTTGATTGACCTCGGTTTCAATGTCACTGTTGACTTGCAAACAATCTATCTTAGGTTGAGACGGTAGTTCTCTGAGGAAGTCTTTCTACATTGAGATTTAATTTCAACAGATCCAGGCTCGAGACCTGGATGTATCTTCAAAGGTTCATAGTATACCCTAAATTATAATTCTTACAAGTCTTCCCTCGCATCAGGTCACTAGGAGGGCATTTCCCTATTATACAGCACCAGCAGCTGGGGGCCAAAAGACACTCGAAGAGAAAATACACAGTCAGAATGTGGGGGCCGGATCATTATTGATTAGCGCTCTGAATGCATGCTCAGCCGCCACGTTACAGCCTGCGGCACAGGGGGCGGACTCATGTATAAACAAACCTATCAAAGTATAGGTATCCCAAACGCCACTTCTGCTGAACGCTCGCTGGTGGTGAGTGCAGACGGGTGTTCAATCTGACTAAGTAACCAGATCGCGGTTTTATTAGAAGAGGAGGTACCTATGGGACAAATTAAGCCCTTGAAGTGGCCAAAATGCAGTGTATGTACTCCATTACTTTCTAGAACATCAATATACACTCGCTTCTCCAAAACGCAGGCAGGCTCTGGCGACACTTGCTGTGCCACAAAGGGCATATCTAATCCGCTGACTGCAAGGAAGTCTATCAAGTACTTCTTTGTAAAGTTTACGACCCTCTTAATTTTCTATTCAGTTTAGTATTTATATAAAGCACCTTTGCAGTCCAGTACTGCCGTGTTCCCAGTGCCTACCCCCAATATTATGAAGCTCCCCATTACATTTGGACGCAGCTGGCAGGTCTAATATCCTTATTACAATCGAATGTTTATGAGGTGATCAGACGCGAACATGAAAAGGACAAGGGTCAAAGGCCCGGCCCATCGCGTAGCCTGCTGTTTTGTCATTGGATCTTAGAGGCATTCGCCATTTTGATATTTGACTGCATGCATGAGACCTGCATTGACCAGTCTCAGGTTGCCAGATACACACCGAAAATTCTCCCCAGCACTGCCATCCTCGAACATCTTTGATATCACTATCAAAACCTCGGTTGTTACAACGTCCCGGAGACATCGATGTCATTTAGTCTCCGCCTTGAATTGAAGTCCATATTGTGCACTTCATCTTAACTAGAAAACATTGGTGGAAAAGCCCATATTAAGGCAATAGATTATCAAATGGGGCAATAGTGGTGACGTAAAAGACAGCTTCCTCAGGGGAATTGCATTATCGCTTATTCCATTCATTCTACCATGTCAACATTACCAAATATTTGCTACCAGCTACCAAGATGAAACAGAATAATATGAAATATGAACCTGGGGGAGGTAGCCGTACCGAGAGAACGGCAAATAACCAAACGAATGTTTGTTTGCACATCGGGGCATGAATTATGAATATGATATTCCCTGGTACGTGAAAGCGCTCGAGTATGTCTGAAATCTCCATGGGCTGTCCAAATCAATAGTGGCACACCTCTATGATAAGTTGAGGTGTCTGATAGTCCCTTTCATGCCCCAAGTCTTTCGTGAACCTTCGGCCGCCCGTGATTCTGATTGGACGTCTTGCTGATAATATAGGAGCCTGATAATTGACAAGGGAGCGTTGATTTAATCGCTCAACAGAGCTATGTAGATTCTCCTTTCTGGGAATCCACTTGCGGACAACATTCTTGAAATAAGCCTGAGGAACTCCTAGAGAGATCGCATCTCTGATGCCACGGTTCATCTGGCCTATGAAATGATCACAAGCCTGACCATTCAGGACGAAACTCTGGCTGAAATACACCAGGACGTCCGCATGACCATAAGTCTCAATAGTTCGTATCGAGTATCGGAACCTCTTGATTACTTGCTTTGGGCCTCCATCTCTAACCATCTCTCGTGTAAACATCTGCATGGGTTGTGGTACTTCATAGAGATTGACACGTTTGTATTCTTTGGTGTAAGACCCGTGGTTTATACGTTCGCTTCTATTGAGATGAATCTCGTCGTTGGCGGTGATCTCAAAGACTAAGCCGTGGACTGTTGATCCGGTATGGGGCGCTATATTTGCGACGCCCTTTCGGTCAATGTACCAAGAATGGTCCGGTAAAACTGCGCGTCCAACGTAGACGCTCTCTGGGCACCGATTGGCCATATGCTCCAGCCAAAGTTTATTACCATAGGCGAAGTAGAGCCTTGTTGAAGGGACTGTTTCACGGAACGTGCCGTACATGCTGGAAGCTGACTAGAGTGCTTTGTGTGAGGAGTGGAGAGGATAATGACAGATTGTGGACTGAAAACGATGATGGCCGTGGAAGAGTACGGAACATGCTGTGGTTTTTAACTAGATCAGTGAACAGCTATGGGGCTATGTTATGCATGCCTCAAGATCCTGAGTTCATGCGCAGCCACAAGGCTGTCGAGCTGCCAATGTCGTCAGAATAGTAAGAAAATTAGCTTCAGCTCTGCATCGTCGCATCGGGTACGCCGCGCGACTAACGCAGGCGCTTAACCATTTGACCGGCCTATCAAACTAGAAACACTTGAGACATCAAACAACACTTTTCGATCTCACTTTCGGTTTCTCGTCGAAATAGGCGATAAAAATAGTTAGATACCGAGATACATTCCCAGCGTTCTTGATAAGTGTTTCTATGATGACGAAACTAAGAGCTGTGCGGCGTCGGCGCCTCATCGACAGTCAATGTCGCGCGGCCCACGAGGCAAAGCCTACATGCAGCCAAGGAAAGGGACTTCGGAAGATTACATCTGTAGGTATATCAATGTCGGCGGCTCGGTTGTCTGCAGTGTTAGTTCGAGTTGCCAGCTGGTTTGCGAGTGGAAATCATGCAGTGTAGCAGACCTTGCTTAAAACATTTGGTTGTTCTTTGTCATCACTACTCTGACAGAGTTACTAGCACTACGTTCAAGATACAGCCTACTAAGATTGCTGTATTTACTATATTTCGTTCAACGGGGCTGAAGGTACGCAGCTGAATACCTCAAGCGCAGGTAGGAGTACGATTGGAATGGGCGTTTTCAATGGCGCTTGGATCCAGGAAGATGTGTAGGAACCGGAGAAAAAGACTGGGGATGACCGAAGGTAGGCAAGAAAGCGCTGCGAATAGCGGTATTTGGCTACCGGCCGACAAACCATGAATGAATTTATGCAGACCATACTAGGGACAAATCAGCGTACAGGATGGTCCTTATCCACAAGAGTGCTTTAGGAGAATTAAGCTGACGAGGTGGACGGAGAGAATGATGACCCTAGGGCTTACCCGCACACAGTTGGCTCAAGTATTTGTTGTACCTTACATCAACAGCACTAAATTGTATGAAGGCACAGCAAGGAAAGTTAGCAATATGTGATTGTTTGTTTTATCTTTAGTAGTGATTTCTATCGCCAGAGGTGAGGAAAGCGATTAGGTAGATCGGTGCGGCTTGGATGTATAATAGTCAGAAGCTGACGAGATCTGGAAGTGTATCTGCTTGGCATTTGAGCGGAAACCGGCAGGCTGCCGATCGGCGATCTGATACATAACAGTGTTGGCAACCGAGTTGTGCATAAAACAATTGATTTAGACGGAATGCCGGCGGGACGGAAATGAATATTTGGCCCAGAGCACGTGGGACACGATAATAATTCACGACTATTTGGACACGGTTCCTTGATGTCTACTTGTTTTTGATTGAGACTCGGCATAGGAAGCAGATCTTTATTCCCAAACGTATTTACTGTTGACCCCCGCATACCCCTGATCTTCCTAGAACTCACCTGCCTATTAGCCACACCAAGCCATGCTATTGAAGCTACCTGAGAGCCTCTATCCTGCTGCCACGTCACGATTCAGAGAAAGCTATATTAATCAGCAAAATTTGGGAGGGTCACTGTAGCTTTGGGGTAGGTATTTGACCATACATGTCAACTTTATTTTTGTTAAAGACCTTGTGGCCCTTGACCACAGCCTGATAAGCGAGACACCTATATGAGACTAAAGCGGACAAAGCCAGACGACGCTATTTAATCATGTAAGCTATAGAGTCTCCTATTAAAATGATTAGGGATATGAATGCCCAGCGAGACATTATCGCTAATTGAACTCTTCATACGGGTATAAGGCTGTGATCTACAAATTAGGTAACATATCCAGATATAATCAATTATTCCGTTTCTCCTCCGTCTACGTATTTTCCTTATACCAAAACTCCTAATAGATAAACCGCGACGCATCCTCGTAGCATTTTCATTCCTGTCTAGATACTGATTTCTCAGAATTTTCACTCATACACCGCCATATCTATGGGTTAATCCTAAGGAATCTGTATTCACCAATTTGGTCGCAATAACTATGCGACTAGACATGGTACGCCGGCGCCAGAACTGATAGGCAAACAAAAGGGGCACGGGTCGGTAAGTAAGTAGTTTAATTTTGAAACAATTGGGAATTGGGAGTTGATTCAGGACTCTGTATCTTGTTGAGATTGAGATACTAACCACGGCTGTGCGAGCAGTCATGAGAACAATTGCCTCTATGGCGTAGTGGTAGCGCGTGTCACTTGTATTTCAAGAGATGACAAGGTCTCTCGTTCGATCCGGGATGGAGGCAGTAATTCTTTCATAGTGCCCTATTTCTTTTTGCACATAATCTTACAAAGAAAGTTGAAACTCAGTGTGTTGGAAGATAGATGACCGCTTCGCATGTGTTTAAGGCCATCTCCCAACTTATCTCCTATGTCATTATTCAAGGTTGAATAACTTGAATATAAGTAGGAGAATAGTTCCTAACAAGAACGCAAGACTAACTAATTTTCATAGAATATCAAATGGGAGATAACGCGAAGTGCACGGGCAGCAAACAAGGAGTGTGTCATATTTACAATTTGGTATCGTCACGAATCCGTGTATACGCGTAGTGCCACCCTTCAGCTTTCACTATTAAAAGTCGAGTTAGCCGTTGAATACGTGAAAAAACGCATAGTTTTTGGACGAGGATATATCCAACAGGCGAATTTCGGAAAGGCGATTGAGGAAAGAAACATGAGTAATCTACTCTGGTGAAGAACTTACTATCTTCTCGGACTTTGTAGTTTTCCTCTGCCACTCTTAGCACGTCCATATCTAGGTCGACAATCGATATTCCCTCGGCGCGGCCTAGTCGTCCTAATGCCCCAATATGTGGTATAGCGACTTGGCTCAAGCCTGCAAAACTTGTTGCTTCTCCCTTCTCGGGTGGGCCGCCAGCGTTAACAAGTACAACTGCACATGTGTTCTCGAAAGCACGAGCCACAACTGTGTTATTTAGGAATAATGCCTCGCCGTCAGGATTTAAGGCATAGCCTTCATCAGATACATCGCGCATACTCCAGAACGTCGGCACGCATATAATCTGTGCACCATCCGCAATAAGTTCCCTAAAGGCTTCGGGAAAGGCCAAGTCCCAGCATATAAGTAAGCCAACACGCCCGAGAGGCGTATCAAAAGCTGTGTGGGGTTCGTGAGCTGATGATACAAGGTGTCGACGCTCTGGATGCCACAGGTTCTTCTTTTGGTACCGTCCCGCGATCTCGCCGTTTGACGAGATAAAGTAGGCAATATTTTGCAGAGAGTCGCCTTGTGATTCAATAATGGTTCCAGGAACAATGCAGATATTGAGCTCCTTTGCCAGATCTTGGTATTTCTTAAGGTATATATCAGAATCCGCGCATGAATCCTTGAACCCCGGTTCGTCGGGGACCCATGAGGTCAGATGGTACTCGGGCAATACAGCTAGATCGCACCCCTGAGCAGCCGATTCCCGTATAAAGGATTCGGCCTTTTCGAAGTTTTGAGTGGGCAATAACGGCTGAATGAATAGTCAGAATAATATTGCTGATGGTAGAGTTCATAGTTCTCGAATGTGCATGAAATTTGTGCCAGAATACGGCTCAAAGTCGCCCAACGCTCATTTAGTCAGAAAAGTATTTGGGAGCACTCAAACCCCCGACGCTTCTGATGTAGCCAAGTATCTGAATTTTATGAGGGTCGACGAGCACTTACCTTGGGGTGAAGTTGGATTACAGCAATCTTATGATTGGGTGCCATCTTGAAACGTAGACTCGGAGAGACTGATATTCGTCATTGTGGATAAGACACGCATATTAGCAGTTCAAAAGTTACGGCGGGGTAGGGCAAACGCTAGAGTATTCCCGGTGTCCTACATATATCCCTTAGTCCGATATCGTTCTATCGCAGCTTTCAAGTCTAGATAGGGTATATAGCCTTCGGTTCTCCCAAAACTTATACCTATATAGGACACATCATTATGTATTTTGATAGGACTATCGCCAACCCTTCAATGTCTAAGCCATAGCTCGGGTGAGTTCAGTGAGTGAAAGACTAAGTGACAACTAGGGCTAATAATCATAGTCTATAAGTATTCTAACTTGCATGTGTAAAAATTTACCCACTTGAGGTTCAAGACTATCAACGAATATTAGTAGTTGTTTGAATCATAGTATATGATCTACTTACGTAAATTACTTACTAGGGGTCAAATTTCACTTGAGGGGTTATGGAGTAAGGGGGTCTTTATGATCGTTATTATACAGACTTAGACACACACCTCAATCTTTTAGACCTCACCACATAGTTTCCCATTTTGATTCATCGTTTATTTTTTTTTTAATAATTAATTGTCTATTGACTTGTGTGATCACGGGAGCCCCATTGGAGTAGCTGTATTTTACCAGTCTGAGATGCGTGATGTCTATCTAGGTTTCCCCCTTTGGCTGAGGCTCACGAGAGTTGCAGTCATCTGTCGCCGTTCCAATAGAACAACATTATACTGCTCTATTACCGTCAGTTATATTCTAATTGCAGTACCACTATTTATGGGTATGCCTAGGTATAATAGATATGCGGTCACCTTTGATTTAAAGATTATCAAATCTGGTCGTTGAATTAATTCAACTAATTGGCCCACTAGAAGTCAGCTTGAAGGAAGTCCTAGGTTGAGTTCGCCTCCAGTACATGACCATGACTGCTCATTGTATCGACCCCGCAATGAACTAACTAGACGACCGACCCATTTACACTCACCACTGATCATTTCCTCCCTGTCAAACCAACTGTCATGTTTCCATAGTGGTACGCAACGTAGTTACTGTAGAAAAACGGTTGTCCGAGAATGCAGCCAGACGGCCTGCCCTGAAGCCGCGAGCCGCAAACACCATGTGTTGGGGTATCCTGAAAATAAGTGTTTGCGGCGGCTACAATATATTTGACACCTCCAATGGTAACCGAGAAGTTAGGTACAGTCCCGCTGTTAGAACAGGGGAACGTCCACTTTTGGCCGTCTGTGGTGGTCGCAGTACTGACCTGATTCCAGAAGGCGTACGCGATGGATGACGGAACATAAATATCTGTGGTCCCGCTGTCGATATTACAGTCCATTGATGTATCGTTGGCTGGAATATTGAAACTAGTTATCGTAGGTGTCCAAAGATTTGTGGAGCCAGTAGTTGATTTGAAAGATAGCGGGCCGTTCTCATGAGCCGTTTCATCGTATCCGAAGGTGTAGGTAGCTGAGCCAGTTGGTGGCATATTGACTGCGAAGAGCGGCTGCTTGTACAAGGGCATGGCGTTGGCCATCCAGGTGGAGTAACCACCGAGCTGCGTTGAGCTCTTTCCAAGCCCTAGTATACCATCGTAACCATTATACGCTGGATTCCACGACGTTGCAACTCCGTAGCGTTGGTTCATAATAGTTGATCCTGCTACAGATACGGTACCGCTAGTAACATTTCCGCTGACTGTTCCACTGCCGTATGTTACAGAAAATCCTGGGCCTGAAACGCTTGTGCCATTCTTAATCCACCTAATTGATCACAATTTAGTTCATAACACGATGATTCGATATAGTTTATACTTACAGCGCATTAGAACCGGTGTCGTAAAGGACCGAGTAAGTGATACCGTCGATAACAACAGGTCCAAAATACTCGCCCGATCTCTGGGTAGCTGTGGCAGAACCAGTCAAAGTAGGCGTAGCACGCGCAAGGACGCGATCAGGTTGAACAGCTTCGATAGCAGCAAACGGTTTGGCTAACACAGGCAGCGCAAGCAAAGCCAGAGAGGTGAGAACCGTAGATAGTTTCATCATTTGATTAAGGTGTATCATGATGGGAGTGTGGATCCAAAGGTGTTGTGATGTTGTATGATGATACCAATATATGAATAGACAGATGGGAAGTTATCCGATATTTATAACTTTTATTTTCTATCCGTCTCCTGTCAACCATCTTCTACAGTCTCCTGAATTTCCTAATCTGGACATTGAGGCGGCTACATCAGCCATCATCGAGATTCATATTTTCAGCTCTCACCGGTCAACTTAGGATCGCTTTAAGGCTGTCGATAGACGGCATGTGATCGGTACTATCCAGCATAGTGTGGTCAATTTTCAGCTCAGTACCTACATCCTAAAAGCCCAAATGAGCCCAGCATCACGGAACTAGAGCTGCAGCACTGGTCATGACACAACCACAAGGTAGAACGTTGACAAGTCGGGCATTTGACCGTCTGCAGCATGCTATATGATTCGTAGGTCTCGAAGGGGAGCTGCCAGAAGTTTTGGGCCGTTATCAAATTTAAGTGAAAAAATCTCAAGCGATGTACAATAAACAACATGATAATTTTGAAGCTTTAAAGACTGATACACAGTTATTTGTAACATTGGTATCTTCGTTAGTAGCCTAGCCTAAAAGAACATATATACCTTGTTGTATAGCGGGGGCCCATAGGGACCCAGATCGAAGTGCTAATCCTTAGCTACCTTAGCTACATATGCATGTGGAAACGCCTTTCAGTCCCTGGGTGCCTAGGTAATACTGTGAGTTCTCGAGTATGGATTAGCCAATAAATTGTAGACGACTGAGATAAAGCAGAGATATGGGACTTGAAGTACAGCATTCCTCCAAAATTCACAGCATTGCCCGATAAAACTGCAAAGATGATATGAATTGGTTAGTTATAGTTATTTAATGCCTTTAAAAGCTATGGCTTGGTTTGCGCCACAAGTACAACACGGACTGTTTGCTCCTCTTCAGCAGTTGTCGGTTGTCCAGCGGTGGCGTCGCCTAACGACTCCGTTCAGCTCTCCTCAAGCTAAGAGCGCCTGCCTTTTCCAGTCCCATTTCGGCCACGCCGTATAGAGATATGAGGCTAGGGAAACTGGTCTAGCCAATTCGGATTCATTGCTCGTCAGCCACTTTCACACTTCATCACTACAAGTCTAATCAAAAGACATGACTTTGAGAATCTAAACAGTATGATCTGAGTTTGCGCCAACCTCGCCTTTTTTGATTTTGTTTCTTGTCTCGTTCAAGGCCTGAATTTGGATAAGAGGAGCTGGTGGCATGTGTTCTTCCTAACTTACAAGGAAACGAACTTACGAGCGGGCACCCACAAGCTGGGTAGCTTTAAACTTGGAAATTTTACGCACTTAACATCGGTCTTTGTGCTTTTATTCCCCGTCACGCAGGCATCCGGTGTCAAAAGAAAAAGAACATAGGAAGACATAAAAGATATCTAGGTAGGCTAATAGGTAGAGTTAGCTGAATGATTGTC